GAACCAATTGGATGAAAAGCTTCAGTGCTTCATGGGGCTTCATCTGCCCATCACTACTCACAGGCTCCAAGTGTTTAAAAGTAATTATCGTGAATACAACTACTTAAATGAACCTAAAGTTTCATTAATGGAGTTATAGCTGTCTTTTTCTCTTTATATCGTTACGTTATAGTGAAGCACGATCCCCTCGTGCTTCACTACTTGCAAGCAGGCAAGTGACGTGTTCACGAACGAAACGGTCTGCTTTGTGTCTGCTTGTTCACACTACAAATGAAATGTGACAGCGAACACGTTCTAGTCTGTGAACCCTCAAAGCGGCCCGCATGCGCAAAAGAAGACGTCACACACAACGCGCTCTGTTTCGATCCAGACCGAACAGTATTGTTTGACTGATGGTTCTTAATATAAAGACTTCGGACATTACGTTTCCCAATTTTGCTTTAAATTCTAAAGTTATTGTGTTATTTACATATGGCCTAATAATTATCCTTATTGCTGTTTTAGAGAGGAGCGGTGCTTCAAAGGATAGTTGCAGATTTCTGTCAAAATCTGACAGCCGTTCACACTGTCAGGTGTATGTACAGTGCCATGATCGGATATGGGTCGCATAGGGTCAGAAAAGTCGGATTTGTTGTGCTTTCGCCTGCAGTGTGAACGTAGCCAAAGAGTGAACAGTAGACTCTCACTAAATTATATATTTTTCATCTCTGTTCACAATTTTCTGGATTTCTTTTTTATAAGACTAAGACTGAACTTTATTTTTCCATGTTTGGCAATGTTCACATTCTGTTTAACTTGTTGCTTTTTTGAAGAAGTGATGCAGACTAATGAATCAGTCTAGTGACAAAAGTTACAAACAGTTGTTTGAAAGGAAAGCTGTTTGTTCAAAACAGAAATTGTGAATGAGTTTATTATCTAAATAAATTTGCTGCTAGGCTTTCTGTCATAGTTTTGTTTAGAAGGATTCCTGCCATGTGGGGAATGATGTAAAAAGTTTGAGAATAACTGGATTATTGCAATATCAAGTTGTGCCTTGTTCTCAGACGGACAGCAAGTGGAGAGTGATAGATGAGATGAGGAGATGGAAGGAGGAAGAGAGGCAAAGAGTGATTCACAGGCAGAGCTGAGTTTATTTCTCACTTTTGTTGCCTTATGGTTCCAAGGACTGTCGCCAAACTTTGCATTTTATTATTATCTCATAACACTTGTTCAATAAGCTACCATTTCTCCTGTGGACTTTCTAATGTCTACAGTCTCAGATCAGCACAGCCCTGCCCTCCAGCACTATCAGCAGCAGCAGCAGGAACAACATTGTACCCATCAGGTAACACATAGGCTACGTTTGCTTTGCATTGCCTCGCCT